GGCCCAGAGGCTTAGGAGGGAAAAAAAGGTTTTGAGGGCCAGGTCCAGGGTACCCATGCTGTGTGCAGTCTAGGGACTTGGTGTCCTGCATCCCAGCCACTTCAGTTATGGCTGAAAGGGGCCAATGTAGAGCTCGGGCCATGGCTTCAAAGAGTGCAAGCCCCAAGCCTTGGCAGCTTCCACATGGTGTTGAGCCTGCAAGTACACAGAAGTCAATAACTGAGGTTTGGGAACCTCAGCCTAGATTTCAGAGGATGTACGGCAATGCCTGGATGTCCAGGCAGAAGTTTGCTGCAGGGGCAGGGCTGTCATGGAGAACCTCTGCTAGAGCAGTGCGGAAAGGAAATGTGGGGTTGGAGCCCCAACACAGAGTCCCTACTGGGGCACTGCCTAGTGGAGCTGTGAGAAGAGGGCCACTGTCCTCCAGACCCCAAAATGGTAGACCTACTGACAGCCTGCACTGTGCACCTGGAAAAGCTGCAGACCACAGCCTCAACGCTCACCCATGAAAGCAGCCAGGAGGGAGGCTGTATCCTGCAAAGCCACAAGGGCAGAGCTGTCCAAGACCATGAGGACCCACCTCTTGTTTCAGCAAGACCTGGACGTCAGACATGGAGTCAAAGAAGATCATTTTGGAGCTTTAAGATTTGACTGCCCCATTGGATTTCAGATGTGCATGGGGCCTACAATCCCTTTGTTTTTACCAATTTCTCCCATTTGAAATGGTTGTATTTACTCAATACCTGTGCCCCCATTGTGTCTAGGAAGCAACTAACTTGCTTTTGATTTTACAGGCTCATAGGCAGAAGGGACTTGCCTTGTCTCAGATGAGACTTTGGACTGTGGACTTTTGGGTTAATGCTGAAATGAGTTAAGACTTTGGGGGACTGCTGGGAAGGCATGATTGGTTTTGAAATGTGAGGACATGGGATTTCGAGGGGCCAGGGGTGGAATGATATGGTTTGGCTCTGTGTCCCCACCTAGATCTCATCTTGAATTGTACTCCCATAATTCCCACATGTTGTGGGAGGGACCTGGTGGGAGATAATTTGAATCATGGGGATGGTTTTCCCTATAATGTTCTCATGGTAGTGAGTAAGTCTTACCAGACCTGATGATTTTGTCAGGGGTTTCTGCTTTTGCATCATCATCATTTTTCTGTTGCCACTGCCATGTAAGAAGTGCCTTTCACCTCCCGCCATGATTCTGAGGCCTCCCCAGCCATGTGGAACTGCAAGTCCAATTAAACCTCTTTTTCTTCCCAGTCTCAGGTATGTCTTTATCAGCAGCATGAAAACGGACTAATACACCTACACTCAAGGGTAGAGAAGAGGCCATGCTGGTTCATCCATATAACTCATGGGATCATTAGGAAGTTCTTAAGGCTGGGTGCAGTGGCTCACGCCTGTAATCCCAGCACTTTGCTGGGTGAAAGCGGGAAGATCACCTGAGGTCAGGAGTTTGAGACCAGCCTGGCCAACATGGTGAAGCCTGTCTCTACTAAAAATACAAAAATTAGCCAGGTGTGGTTGGGCACACCTGTAATCCCAGCTATTCAGGAGGCTGAGGCATGAGAATCGCTTGAACCTGGGAGATGGAGGTTGCAGTGAGCCAAGATCATGCCACTGCACTTCGGCCTGGGCAATAGAGCAAGACTCTGTCTCAAAAAAAAAAAAAAAGTTCTTAGGAAGCCTGAGGCTAGGAGAGAATTGGCCAGCAGGAGGCTGAGTTCCACCTTTCTCATTTCGTCATAAGCACGTTTAAAGCCAAGAAATAGCCTTGTGAACCCCCCAAACAGAACAGTGAGCTGTGGGGTTGGGTGTTGTTTGTGGGTTCCCCAGGACTGGCTGAGGATGCCTTGATGTGGCACTGATTAGATATGATCCCAGAGACCACACAGATGTGAACAGGACTCCCCTCTTCCCTGGGGAACAGAAGTCCATGAGAGGCTGGGTCTGAAGGGCAGGGCGAGGGTAAAGGAGACAGGTTTGGCAGCAGCCTCAGGGCTATAGGTGCTTTGCCCTGTGGTTTTAACATCAGACCCCCAAGTATCCCTGACTTGGGGGAGGAGCTGCTTACACAAAGTCCAGACAAGGCAGGGCATATAGGTGGAAGCAGAAATGCCAATCAGGGTGAGTGACAGGGATGAACCAAAGTTGGGTTCAATATTCTGGACCAGGGTGACTGGAGGAATCAAAGCATTCTAGAGTTAGAAGTGGGCTTAGAAGATTTAATCTTGTGCCCAGGACTAGGTATTGTGCTTCAGTGTCCCTGAGGCCTCCTCCACCTCAAACTTGCGGCGTCTTGAAGGAAAGCAAAAGAGGAGACAAACACTATCTAGGAAGCCCTGGGGTCTGCCAGACTCCTCAGCAGCCCCTCTCCTGACTGTGGATCCCAGGAGAACCCAGTCTCATGGCCTAGCTGAGTAGCAGAGCACTGTGGAAAGGCTATATGATTGCTGCCCTGCCTCTTGCTGCTCTGTGACCTTGGGCTCGTGACTTCACCTTGCTGGGCCTTCTCCTCTCACCAGTAAGCTGAAGATAAGCTTTGCTGCTAGGATATTAGAGGATGACATGAGATAAGGTTTGTAAAACACAGGGCACTTGCCTGACATCTACTTCCTCCTTGCCATCTGGAAGCCTCCAGTATAACACCTGCCTGAAGTCACTGCTGAAGTATGACATGTCTCTGATAATTAAATGTAACAGACATAATTTCTAGGGCACCCACTGTGTTGGACAATGTGAGGCAGATGGACCAAGTACAAGACATGGGCCCCTACCTCTGAAAAAAGTAGCATCTTGGTTAAGCAAAAGACAAGCAAGCACAAGCTTTTTAAATAATGAAACTAATACAGCTACATGCAGAAGAATTATGAATCAAAAGGCCTATTGGGATTTAGAAGGAGAGCTTAGCAGAGTTGGAGGGCTTCCTGGAGAAAATGGGCTCTGTGATAGACTTTGAAGTGCTGGTAAGACATGAAAGGTGGGCAGCTTTTGCTGTGAGTTGTCCAGGAACAATGGCATGAGCAAGGGGTGGGCAGGAGTGGATTCAGAGCCCCACTGGAATAGAGTTCTGAGGTCATGGGTGAAGTGGGCGGAGAGAAGTCTGAAGAGGTAAGGAGGGCCAGGCAGTGGACTGGAAATGCCACACCACCAGCAAAAGACCAAGGATTCTGTTCTAAGGGCCAACCAAGTCTGGAGGCACAGATTTCAGAGCGACAGAGTCACATGATGAAAAAGGACTGGTGGAATAGAGGGGGATGTTGGATGGGAGGAGAAACTAGAACAATCAGGGTGAGTGACAGGGATGAAATGAAGTTAGGTCCAATATTCTGGGCCTGGGTGACTGGAGGAATCAAAGCGTTCTAGAGCTGAAAGTGACCTTAGAAGATGTAATCTTGTATAGCCATTCAGAATAGATTAATGCCCTTCCTGGGTCCATGGCAAGTTCTTCCTCTCTTAGTTCTGTCAAGAGCTGGTTGTTGGAAACAGCCTGGCACCACCCCTTCCCCTGCCATTCTCTCGCTTCCTCTCTCACCATGTGATTTCTGCACGTGCAGGCTCCCCTCTGTCTTCTGCCATGAGGGGAAGTAGCCTGAGGCCCTTATCAGTTGCAGATGCTGGGTTTCATGCTTCCTGTACAGACTGCAGAACCATGAGCCAAATAAACCTCTTTTCTTCTTAAATTCCTCATGCTTATGTATTCCTTTATAGCAACATAAATGGACTAAGACAGTACCCTCCCTATGGGGCAGTGTGCAGAGAGAAAAGACCAGAAGACCAAAGACTGAACCTTGAGTCATGAGAACAGGATCCAGGAGAAGGGGCTGTCAGAGGTGGGATGCAGCCCAGATGTGGTCATGGTGATCAAGGACGCAGTGGTGAAGGTGGTCAGTGCTGTCCAAGGGCATGACCTGGACAGCTCTGATCTCCCCAGCCCCACTGAAGCCTATTACAGATGGCTGCAAATTCTTTGACACTTCTCCCACTGAGATGGGGAGGGGGAATCTTTGCTTCCTCCATGTAAATCTGAGTAGGTTCTGTGACTAATGCCCCCATAGAATAGAATGGAAGTTTAGCTGGGCGTGGTGGTGCATGGCTGTAGTCCCAGCTACTCAGGAGGCTGAAGTGGGAGGATCGCTTTAAGCCCAGGAGTTCAAGGTTGCAGTGAGCGATGATCTTACCGCTACACTCCAGCTGGGTCAACAGAGTGAGACCCTGTCTCAAAAACACAAAAAACAAACAAACAAACAAAACAAAACAAAACAAAACAAAAAAAGGAATAGAATGGAAGTAATGTCATGCCAGTGTCCAGGTCCAGCCTCTGAGAGACTGGCTGTTCTGACCTTTAGAATCTGGGAGCACTCAGTCGTGGAACCCAGCCACCATGTTGTGAAGAAGCTCTGTGCAGTAGTCCAAGTGACCAGGAGTCAAAGTTCCCAGTCAACAGCCAGCACTAACTTAGCTGTGTCAAAGAGCCCACTTGAAAGAGGATTCTAATTGTGCTGCCCAAGCTGAGACCACGTGGAGCAGAGATATTCAGTCCCTGCTGAGCCCTGCTCTAATTATAGATCTGTGAGCAAAACTACTAATTTTTAACTAAATTTTGGGGTGGCTCATTACACAGTATCTGGTTTTCTCGGTGGATTCAATCCGGTGTGCTTGAGTCTCCCCTCCAAGTGCATGGCAGATGGTGGGAGCCATGGGAACTTTCCTCTCACTGCCCTCCCTTTACTTTTGTTCTGGTGGCTGGTGACCCGCACGGGGCTTAGAGATCAACTGTGGTCAGTGATTAGGGTGGCCCTGGGCCTCTATGGGGGTTAGGTATTGGGAAAGGTCACACAGGGTGGGGCCCATGTTGCCCCACAGGAACAGAACAGAACAAGCCCTGGCCTCTCAGCTACCCATTGGCAATAGCTTCCATTCCTTCCACTTGCGTACAAGGAGACTTGAAAATCAGTGGTGGCAAGACTCCAAGACTATTATTTTTATTTCCAGACAAAAACATCTGCTTCACACACAGAGCGGCATCACACGAAGAGGAAAGAGCCTGTATCCCAAAGCCCAGCTTTCCGCACCATCCACAAATGAAGACAGCATCTGCTGAGCCCACACTGAACCTGTCACAGTCAACAACTGGGAAACTGGGGCCTCTACTAAACCAGGGGACAAGCAGCCGAAGCACTTGAACAGCTTGATACTTGTTTTTTGGTACATTTGTTTATTTAAAAAAGCATAGGAAATGAATAAAATGCCACTAAAAAGTATCTGCAATGAATAAATTATTTCCAGTGAAGCACTGCAGATCCACACACACCAGTCCTCTAACCTTTACCAAGGCCATGTCTGGTGGGCTTGTGCTTGTCTCAGGTGACTCTTCCTTGAGACCTTTCCCTTTTGTGCAATGATCACAGCATTGGAGACCAGTCCTGCATGCGCTGGCCTTCCATGTAGGCATGGCAGACCACACGGATGGGCACTGGGCTGGCATGCAGTAGGCTTCAACAAACGCACTTCACTGTTTCCAGTGACCCTGAAATGTTTTATATAAGTAGGGCCTGGGCTTTAAAGAAAAGAGCCAGGGTTCCTCAGGCTAGGCCCCTTCACTGAGGCACAGCTTCAGAAAATACTGGTCTCAGGAGCCAGCAACTTGTCCAGGAGTTTTGAGCCCTCAGTTGAAGGAAAATGGCCATGTGGTGTCCTTGCAGGCAACAGTGATGCTGGTGATGGTGACAAGTAGCCAGCCCAAAGAAGGCCAACCCCACCTTGGGTGGAATGCAGGTCACCTAGTCCTGCTTGGAAGGGGCTAGGAGGTTGGGGAAAGTCGAGAACGGAGGGCCAGGGCTCCACACAGTGAATTCAAATAAGGACTCTTTGGTGAGGGAAGTAAGCTGCAGCCCTCCTTTGGCCCTTTATGGAGGGTCAGCACCTGGGCTCACAAGCACAAGGGTCACTGGGCAGGAAGCAGACTTTTAGAAGGGAAAGGTGCTATAGGCAACGCCAAGGGCATAATTTAAATATCCTGTCCTCTGGAAAGTGTTCAAGACGTCTTGCAGTACACACCATTTAGGAGATTATAAAATTCCTTTCATTCACTCCATGTGAACAAGTTGAGGCAGTGCGTTTTCAAGGTGAATTCATTGAATATAATGAAGTACATTTATTTTTTGAAGGAAGTTTTTGCCACAGAAATATTGAACTTGGGACTGTGCTGACAAGCTATAGCACAATCCCTCTCCTTCCAGATTGGAGCAGGGGTGGCAAAGCAAAAGTCCACAGGCACTGGGTAGATAACTGGTGTAAATGAGGGTGTGGGGCAGGATGTGGTGGCTCACATCTGTAATCCCAGCACTTTGGGAGGCCAAGGCAGGAGCCCAGGAGTTTGAGACCAGCCTGGGCAACATGGTGAAACCCCGTCTCTACAAAAATTACAAAATTAGCTGGGCATGGTGGTTTGCGCCTGTGATCCCAGCTACTTGGGAGGCTGAGGTGGGAGAATCACTTGAGCCCAGGAGGCAGAGGTTGCAGTGAGCTGAGATTGCACCACTGTACTACCCCCTAGGCAACAGAATGAGACCCTGTCTCAAATTAAAGAAAAAAGAGGAATGTGAGCACACATTGGTCTCATGGTCTACTCACCTGATCAGATTAATGCCAGGGGTTCCTTTTCATTACAAGAAATGCAACCTGCAGGGGCATTGATCAGTAGAAACAAACACTCAGCCTCATTGTGGGAGGTGATAGGGAGTAGTGTGGGCTGTGGTGACCTGGTGAAGTAGACACCCAATCTAAAGGCAGAGCTGGTGCCCAGCTCCAGCCAGTTGTTGCTGGGTGAGAATGTGAGCCTCAGAATGGCCGGTTCTTCTGATCTGGATTGTTATGGGAATTTTTAAATTTTAAGTGTTAGATTCTGCAAGATAAACAGAACATCCCTGTGGGCCAGATCATTTTGTAGCCTCTCCTGTGGGAGTCAGTGGCAGGAAGGTGTGGTAGGCAGAATAACAGCACCCCAAAGATGTCCTGGTCCTAATCCCCATCTGTGGCTATGTTGTCTTGCATGGTAAAAGGCTCTTCCAGTGTGAGGAAGGATGTTGAGATGGAGAGATTATCCTGGATCTTCCTGGTGGGCTTTGTAAGTCAAAGAGGGAAATGGGAGGGTCAGTGACACAGTGAAGACATGTGAGAAAAGCTTGACCAGCCACTGGAGCCTGGGAATGCAGCCAGTTTCTAGAAGCTGGAAACGGCAAGGAACTGGCTTCTCCTTAGAGCCTTCAGAAGGAGCACAGCTCTGCTGACACCTTGATTTTCATTCAAGGACATCCATTTTAGAATTCTGATCCCCAGGACTGTAAGATAATGTGTTGTTTTTAAGTTACCAAGTGATGGGTTGCAGTGGCAACAGACAACTAATGCAGGGGGCCACTGTCCAGTATATATTTAAACATTTTTAGAGGACGAGAATATTCTCTAAATTTTTCTTTAAATGTCAAAGTATTGCTGCAGCTGGGAGAATCGCACATGGAAACTTAAGGAAATTTCTCTAATTGCTAGGACTACAGGACAATGGGATTCAAGATGAATTTCCACAATGGGATAACCACAAGCCGACCTAGAGAATCAGGAAGTCTCTTATCAAAGCAGATATGTGTCAATGCTGCTCAAACACACACACCCTTTTCTGGCTGGACAGATTATAAATTATTCCCACCTCCCGGGGGACTGGCACACGTTTATCTAGTGGTCGATAGAAGTCACAATGAAGACATCCAAACCAGTTAGCATGAGTTGTTACTAAGTCAGGTGAAGAAAGCTAGGTGGTTATACATTTGATCTCTTAAATGCACAGGACCACCAAATAAATAATAATAAAAAGGCACATTGTCATTTTCATCCTGGGGACCCCAGTGAGAGTAGGGATCTCAGGTAGGCTCCTTGGAATTGGAACTGTTGTCCTGAAGAGGGCAAGCCTCTGTTTAACACTCTGAATCCAGGGCTTGCTGCAACCCTATGCTAGGTGACTCAGGCCTCTCTCCTCTCATTACAGGCTGGCTAACCACACAGCCTGAGTTGAGAAGGACATGAGCTGTCATGACCGTATCCAGATGAGAATTCATCATTTTCAGTGTCTTGTGCTTAGAATGAGTCCACTGAGCAATGTGAAGTTGGTGGTGTCCAGGAAAATCTCCTGCTGTTCCTTCTGTATAATTCCTCTTCTTTAGGATTTCTGGTTAGGAACACGGATGGGTGTCTCAGTGCCCTGCTTTATGAAACTCAGCAAATTCCCTGGAAGGGATCAAGTTATTCTGCTGGCTCCACAGGCTCCTGAGTGTTCAGCAAGGGAATGTCTGTTTCCTTGCTGTTTACATCCCTGTTGTTGGGGTGGGAGAAGGTGTATGGTTCACTCTTGGACTCAGGAGGGGAGCAACGAGGCAGCTCTTCAGCGGCCAACTTTGCAGTTGGGGCCCTGGAGCATATGGTGGGTGGGGAGGGAGGGCAGACCCCCATGGTGCCCTGGAACGGCCGGTAGGTGTCCACCTCGGGCTGCAGGAAGGACCCGCCGGAATCCTGTAGCAGATGCCCATACACCATGGTATCCTCGATGACTGCATATACATGGGAATCATTGTCCTTTCGCCCTTTCTGAAACTTTTTTGGCTGTCTTGGCATCTCGGTATTGATGTTGCCATTATAGACACCCATGGCGGGGCCCTTGTTTGTCTTCTTTTTCCTATTTGGAAAAGGAACAAGACAGAAGTCAGAAAGGAAAGAATCTTAGATGGGTACCATTGCTATGGCCCTGCTAGAGCTTGGATTCTTTAGGGTTCTGACCATGTCTTCCCCAAATCCCTCAAATTGCTCAGCACTTGAAACTAAAACTCTGTCCTCAGTGAACATTTAGAAGGGACCTGATTTTGTCTCCAGTTTTCCAAGTGGAAACAGAGATCACAGGTGGCAGAAGAGTGGTTTAGAGAGGGCACCTCTAACACTATCTGTGCTCAATTCGTTTTTGATAAGATATGTGGTATCCAATGGTGGAAACATCTGACAATCCCTTTCCCCTCCTTTCTACCAGAAATAGGCAGTGTCCCAGCCCATCTCAACCACATCAGGCTCAGTCATGCCCAGGTCAACTTTCCCACAATCTTAGCACTTTCCCATAGCTCATGCTTTCTCTCTGTTTTGCCTGGGAAAAGCTCTGACCGTCTAGATTCTAAATGGTGACACAAGAGACTCAAGAGTCCAGGTTGTATCTTAGTTTTCAGCATGAGTTGGTGAGAGGAAAACTCAGCATTAGCAGAGAGACCCAGTGCCTCAGCAGTCACCCCCAACAAAGGAAAGAGCTAAAAAGAAGACAAAATTCAGGCTGCAATGCCAGAGTTCTTCAATAACACCATTAGCATTTGGATTTTAATGTTCTTTGGTACTTGGACCTGCACGGGCATTAGTGCTTGCTGCCACAGAAAACAAAGCTTTGCTCCCCATCTTCATGAACCAAACAGCAAGGAATGCTGACTTTTTAGCTGACCAGTGATGCAAATGGAGGAGATTAGCTCAATTAGTGTAATGGACCATATAAGGCACAGGCTGGCAGTTCATGGTTGTGGACAGGCTCTCTGTAGTTTGCTGAGATAAAAATAAACCTGGTACCTTTAGCTTGTAACACTGAGCCCCTGGCCAGGATGATGGGTTCCTAAGGCTCCTGCCTGAAGCTCTGTAATGTTTGTCCCCACTAAAACTCTTCTCATGCTATCCTGAAACCGACTGTTTATTTGCCTGTCTCTTCAGTCCCCCCACCCCCATAGAAGAGATTGTCTTGCTCATCACTGTCCCCAGTACCTCAATGAATCCTAGTGCCCAGGAGACACTCAGGAAGTACCCACTTAGAGAACAAGTTGGATAGCATCGTCTCTCCTCATTCTCACTATACAACCTGTCCGTCCTCCTACACCAGCTTGGGCATGGATAGGCCTTATGCAAACCTGCCAGCCAGCAGCCTCACACAAGCAAGGCCTGTAGCAAGGCTGGGCTGATGATTCTCAGGCTTAAACTGGAGCTATTTCAAGATGAGGCAAGTGCTGGATCTCTTTCCTTGTCCAATTCCCTCCTGATAAGGAAGCTGGGGCCCAGTGTTAATGCCACGCTTCCCCAGCTGGGTGGGCTATTCCATGCACCCCAGATGGGAAAATTCCCTGAGAGAAACAGTAACATGATGCTTCCTTAAAAGCAGTCCTTTTTCCCCATGTGTTATAGGTACAGCCGCTTCTCA